CCTGCATTTGTGTACACTTTACTAGCCTCGTTTCCAATTCCTAAAAATAACAGACCAATGAGAATGCCCACCATCAGATGTGAGATGAGCCGAAGACCTGTGAGTGTCTGGAAGAAAAAAACCAAATCAATTGATAGACAGAATAATAATAATAAGGCATATGTTATTGCTACTTAAGTTCTTGGTAGTGAAACTTTGTCGACTAATTCATAACAGGAGAAACGGCTAAATAGCTTCCCACGTGGTGGTAAGAAGAATACTTGGCATTAACTGGCAAGACAAGATCACAAACACTGAGGTACTGGAAAGAGCAGGTATTACAACAGTCTTCTCAATGCTTAGTCTACGAAGGCTCAGGTGGCTGGGACACCCTAGGATGATTTCAGAGGCCCTAAGGACTTTCTCTGTGGTGAATTATAGATGGGTAGAGGATACTGTGGCTGAAGTCTTTTACAATGCGTTTAAGCAGGACATGAATAATACAGATATTGAGTTAGATTCATTTGAATGTGATGCCATGGATCATGTTCCAAGGGCCGGGTGTGGGTGGGAGGTAGAGAGCAAAGGGAATAAAGAGAAAGTGGCAAATGAACAAAGAAAGGTTGAGATCCGCATATCTTAGAACTAGTGTAAGTTAAATATAAGTAGGAGAAGAAGAAGAAGGAGAAGAAAAAGAAGAAGGAGAAGAAGAAGAAGAAGAAGAAGAAGAAGAAGAAGAAGAAGAAGAAGAAGAAGAAGAAGAAGAAGAAGAAGAAGCAGGAAGAGAAGGAGAAGAAGAAGGTAGAGGAGGATAACAAGTAGAAGAAAAAGAAGAACAAGGAGAGATATGGAAGAGAGTAGAAGAGAGAGCAAGAACAAAAATGAAAAGAAAGAAAGAAAGAAAGAAAGAAAGAAAGAAAGAAAGAAAGAAAGAAAGAAAAAGAAAGAAGAAAGAAAGAAAGAAAGAAAGAAAGAAAGAAAGAAGAAAGAAAGAAAGAAAGAAAAAAAAGAAAGAAAGAAAGAAAGAAAGAAAGAAAGAAAGAAAGAAAGAAAGAAAGAAAGAAAGAAAGAAAGAAAGAAAGAAAGAAAGAAAGAAAGAAAGAAAGAAAGAAAGAAAGAAAGAAAAATGCCCCAACTTACGGCATCCCTGACTATGTACATGAAAGTGCGTATGAACAAAACTCGGAACTGGGTGACACAGCTGGTGTTGAACGTGTGGCACTCTTGGTCCAGTTTAAACATCTGGGTGAGAGGAGATCACAGCCATCAAGCCAAATGTCATCAAGCCAAATGTCATCAAGCCAAATGTCATCATGTCAAATGTCATCGTGTCAAATGTCACCAAGTCAAATGTCATCATGTCAAATGTCATCATGTCAAATGTCGTCATGTCAAATGCCATCGTGTCAAATGTCATCATGTCAAATGTCATCATGTCAAATGTCATCATGTCAAATGTCATCAGGTCAAATGTCATCAGGTTAAATATTACTAAGTCAAATATCATTAAGTGAAATGTCATCATGTCAAATGTCATCAAGTCAAATGTTACCAAGTCAAATTTCAAGTGCAAATCTCATCAAGTCAAAGGAAACCCTACAAAATGACATTATCTCATTAAAAGGTCATCAACTCAAATGTCATCAGGTCAAATGTCATCAACTCAAATATCACCAAGTCAAATGTCATCAGGTCAAATGTACCAAATCAAATATCACCAAGTCAAATGTCATCAAGTCAAATGTCATCAAATCTAATGTCACCAAATCAGATATCAAATCAGATGTCATCAAGTTGAATGCCCTCACAATGTAAATGAGTTTCATATGTGTCACTGATGACACAGGAGCACAAGTAATTGGGTAAGCTGATAGGCTTGCACATAAAGCTATTGTGGAGAATGGACGAGCCACAGACCAGGCAGATATTCTAAATGCTCTACGAGAAGTTAGATGTTTGTGAGAACCAAGGCATGACTGTTGATCAGCAACCATGACCAGACAGCAAGTAAAACATTTAAAAAAAGATGTGGTCAGACAAGAATACTATACAAAACTAAGTGAGTTAAAACTATGCAGAAAGCCAAAGAAGAATGAGAAACCAGAACAGCACTGGTGCGAAGCGTTGCTACACACTGCGGTATTTGAGCTCTTACGGACTAAATGGTTCCATATGTAATGAGGATAACCTGTTGACTAACTAACCAACTAAATGAAGATAATTATGTAAAATGCCATCAATGGAAGGTGATAAAGTTAAAGATTAGCAAGTTAACTGTCAAATATCTGTGTCACTATCTAGTACAGTATTATCATCTGCTTTACCTCATCACTGTGTTCGAAGTGTGCTCCATTTGTCACTACTGAAGCAGATGAAAGCACACTTTTACTGTCAGTACCATTACAGTAGTTCACATCGTTGCCCAGGCTGCCAACCCCATTACTGAGTCCAACCACTCTGCTTGACTGGGTCACAGACAAGGGGGATGCCCCATTCTCACTGGTGAGGGGTGATGAGGCCACATTGGAATCCCCAGAACGCTTATGGTTCTGGAACTCAGCCTATGGAAATTTGAAAAGTATGTAAATAAATGGAGCCATTACCATTAGTTAAGAAACAAAAATATTTCTTGAGGCAAACAAGATTTGGTTTCAGAGAATGGCTTCCTAGAATTTCTGGATCAGCTGAAATATTGTGCAGATAATTGTATCAGGTTAAGGTCCCTTGACAACCTAGCACACATCTTAGAAAAAGGCAGTTTTTTGCTTCTGTTTTCAGATCATTATAAAAGTAAAAAAAACTAGAATACTGTGACAGCTGTAAACACTTTTGGAAAGAGAGAGAGAAAAAAAAATGGTATAACAATTTTCTTGACAGTCTTTTATCAAGGCATGAAAGGATGTCAGCAGTCAGCACAGGAACTGATACATGAGGCTGGGAATAACCAGATGTGGAGCATGACTGCCCCTGTTACTTGTTATCTGCCCTCCTTTTTAGGATGCAATTTTTCGTTATTTGAAGCTCCACCCTGGCTCTTGCCAGGGGCCGCAATATAGCCAGGCCATAAATATGACCTAATGGCTGAACGCAGTTTCTGGGACCTCTCCACGGTGATCCTCACCCACATGGTGGCACTGTGTCATCAGGTGTTTATCACTTGTGTGATGTCCTGGTGGGGTAGAAAGTCAGTCAGTCAGACTGCCCATGCCAAGCAGCATTGCACTTGATGATAGTAATGATAGAAATAGAGCCATGATCAAGCACCTCAAAACTCAGCCATATTGTTGCGAGAAGGTCAGAGATCTGGCAGGTGACCTCTCTGTCCTGGTGCCAGTTGACTAGCTAGAATAAATGGGTTCAGATCCGCCTAAATTCATAAGGGGGTTAAGTTCTCCCTGATAACCATGAATAGAAGATACCTTTTGAACATTTTGTTTTGTAGAAATATCTTATTACTTGTTATTCTTCTTCAGCATTCCGAGCCCTTAAGTTTCACTGCTGCAGATATCAACCACCTCCATTCATCTCTCTGGTTGACCTTAACTTTCCAGTTGGTGATATCAAGTGTTTGCAGGTCTCTCTGGATATTATCTCTCCATCATCTTCTTTGTCTGCCTCATGGTCTATAGCCATTCGGTTCCCTTGTGTATACAGTTTTTACCTCTCTGTGATCTGACATTCTCTCATTATATCCTAGCCATTTTGGTCTATTAGCTTTCATGATGCCAGTGATCAATGGTGATTTAAACAGTTTATAAATTTTGTTGTAGCTTCTCGCTCTCTATTCCCAAATGTTTGCATCTTTGATGGGTCCAAAGATTTGTCTTAAGACTGTTTTCAAAAATGTGTAATATGGCTTCATCTCTTATAGAGTTGAAAAATTTATTTTGTAATATATGATTATATTTTTTGGCCACTGATTACAATATTTTAATTAACAATAAATAGAGTATCTTCCCCCTCCGCCCCACCCCCCCCCTATCCCTCGCACCGCACCACCCTCCGCCCACCCCTCCACCCACTCCTAGAAGTTTGTAAGGATGCTAAGCTAAGCTCCTGCAGCAACCCCCTCTCCACACCCACCCACTCCTGTATCTGTTTAAGTTTGTGGCGTGCAGGAATATCATCAGCAGAACTGATCCAGAACACAAAGGTAAGGTAAGGATCAGTGATGAGACACAGGCACCTCTGCCATCAGGCAAGCCACATGATAATGGTGGTGGATCAGTTAAGACAGAATGCTCCACATCTGACGCAGTGAGCTTTTGTTTGGATTATCCTCACCGCCATCTTGGTGCCACTGTTTACTTCTGTTTTATCATTGATCTGGGAAACCTTCTGCTGTACAAAAGAGTTGCTTTTGAAAAACTGATACTGAATTAAAGAAGCAGCCCTGGCAGTTCTACATCAGACACGGCCATTTTGATGGAAGCCCATCAGGCTCATGTTACAGAACTATCCCTGGCATTTGCATTAATGTTTCACAAATATCCTGTTCAACCCTCAGGGTTATTATTGGGAACATAATCTTAACTGAGTTCTAAGAGTAAATATTTGTTAGTTTTTTTTAAATTTATATGTAATTATTTATATGACCAAAATGTAATTTGTATTTCACATTTGGCTTTGAGTTGGGTTATGACTATAACTGAAAATGAACCAAGCAATCCGTCCTTCTAGCCTGTTTGAGATACAACAAAATATGACAGATAATAAACTATAGTTTGTTTATGTGTGTGCTCAACTTTACAACAGAAGACATTGAATAAACTGTACATTTTGTTTATGTGTGTGCTCAACTTTACAATATGGAGACATTGAGTAAATTGTGCAGTTTATGTCTTTGTTTAACTTTACCATATGGAGAAATTGAACAAATTGTGCAGTTTATGTCTGTGTTCAACTTTACAACAGAGAGACATTGCTTTAACATACAAAGGTAGATAATAAGTTAATCACACAACCAGAGAAAGCTACTGTGACACACAGAACACAATAGTGAGTAAATATCGTCAAAATACCTGAAATGGTTCACATTTTCCATCGTTGAGAGCTTGGATCAGAAATGGAATTTTGTCTTCTCCGTACTCGCCTGCTGCTACCTCCATCACTGTCAGTTTATGAGAAAAGTGCAAATGTTGGATTACTTGTGCAATTAAAAACATTAAACATATTATAAACACACAGATAGTGAAAACAGGCAACAATCTGAGAACACAAATATGACTGAAACAGCACAACAAAAGTACCATAAACTGAAAACATAAAAAAAAAAAAAAACTAATAACAGAAATATAATGAAACTAGTAAACATACTAGGAACGCTGATAAAGTGAAAGTAATAAACATCAGTATCAAAGATGATAATAATGCAGTCTATCAGCGACACATTAGATATTGTGTAGCATAACGGCTAAGTTATTTTCTAAACTCTGCTTCAGCTGGATCCGAAGCTGGCAAGGAACCTTCCACCCCCCCCCCCCTCACCCCATCCCTTCTCATCCCTTTGAGTATACATTTGGTCTGATGCTGGACAAGCAACAAGAGAGAGATCCCTTTCCAAAAGGGTTTCAAAACTTCTTGACGTCCCCCTTAAAACTTCCTCACATCCCCCTGGGTGGATGCACGCTGCCCTTGTTGGAGACAATTTGTATAATCACTGCATTGAGTGAGTCAGAAAGAGAGGCTGACCATGTAAATATGGACAGAGCTAGTCAGAGAGAGAAGTCAACCATGTAAACGATGGATAGAGTGAGTTACCATGTTCCTGAGAATCGTCATAAACAAAGCACACAAACAGACACACTGCCACTGTTTATACTTCTCAAAACCACAAGGTACAGGATACAATGAGTTGAGACATCGTCCATTCTGGTCTAGACTACAGACAATAGATGATCTTAGCTAGGATTTATTGGCAAACTGACACACCAGCCACATCAAATGCATGTACACAAATATTTGAAGGAATCAAACTAGAAGCTGCCAGATGTACTAGAAATTCAAGATTAGGGACTCAGAATTGTGAACATATAGACAGGCTCTACAGAATTGTGAACATAAAGACAGGCTCCACAGAATTGTGAACATATAGACAAGCTTAACAGAATTATGAACATGTAGATAGGCTCCACAGAATTGTGAACATGTAGACAGGCTCTACAGAATTGTGAACATTTGGACAAGCTCCACAAAATTGTGAACATTTGGACAGGCTCCACAGAATTGTGAACATATAAACAGGCTCCACAGAATTGTGAACATGTAGACAGGCTTCAGAGAATTGTGAACATGTAGTTAGGCTTCACAGAATTGTGAACATCTAGACAGGCTCTACAGAAATGTGAACATGTAGACAGGCTTCATAGAATTGTGAACATATAGACAGGCTCCACAGAATTCTGAACATATAGACAGGCTCCATGAACATGTAGATAGGCTTCATAGAATTGTGAACATATAGACAGGCTCCACAGAATTCTGAACATATAGACAGGCTCCATAAACATGTAGACAGGCTTCCCAGAATTGTGAACATGTAGATATGCTCTACAGAATTGTGAACATGTAGACAGGCTCCACAGAATTGTGAACATATAGACAGGTTTCACAGAATTGTGAACATATAGACAGGCTTCACAGAATTGTGAACATGTAGACAGGCTCCACAGAATTGTGAACATGTAGACAGGCTTCACAGAATTGTGAACATATAGACAAGCTTCACAGAATTGTGAACATGTAGTTAGGCTTCACAGAATTGTGAACATATAGACAAGCTTCCCAGAATTGTGAACATGTAGTTGAGCTTCACAGAATTGTGAACATGCTGCAGTGTAACTGAGCTCTACAGATCAATGGAGGACACCCCAGCCTTTACATAGATCTGTGGCCTTCTCATCTGAAAACTGCTGGGTGGGAGAATGAAGACAAACAGAAGAAATCAGAAGCTATACCATATAGTTTAAGTTTCCAATGAGAATTCTAGGGCCCTATTGTAGAGAACACAAGAATAGACCCACCCAAAAGCATGTTGTATAAGTCGACTAATTGGGAGCATTGAGTGCATGTGCCTGAGATGCAAGGAACCAACAGTCTGCACACAAATGAGTCAAATCTATAAAACGGATTTGCATGCAACATTGAGGTTCTGAAACAGGACCACAGTCCAGAAGTGGATGAACAACCAGAACTTTAAGCTGATGAATGTAAAGAAAAAGAAAAAGAACATATAGTTCAAGTTCAACAGTGTAAGGTGGTTAAGAATGTGACAGAGCTGACTCACCATAATCTGCTGGGTTGTGATAGTTGGGACACACCAGACCTTGACTGCCAAAGTAGGGCAGCAGAGCTCCAATGTTGCCACGGTAAATACATTGGCCCTCTACCAGTAGGTACAGCTGGAAACACAGGGTCATCAAGAATGATTACTGGAAGTTTTAACTGTTTTTATAAAAGAAGTATTTATTAGATAAACATGTGTGGCATCTTTAAAGGTCAGAGAAGTTCATAGTTTTTGACTGACCTTGGTAAACTTCAATATGGGCACCATTTGTGGCTCTGAAGATGTTTATACAGTATTCAATGTCCTGCCACATTTTCTAAATCATCTTCTTCTTATGCTCCTATTGCTTCTCCTTCACTTCTTTCTCCTCCTCCCTCTTTTCTTTCCCTTCCTCTCCTTTTCTTTCCTTCCTCCATTACAGTTCTTCTACAGCTCCTATTTAACTTCCTTTTTTGTTATATGTTTTTCCTTTTGTGATCTTTTTTCTTTCTTTTTCTCAATCTCTGTCTCATCCTCCTCCATCAAACATCTCAACAAACATTGTAGACAAAACATCACAGACTTACATAATCAAACATCTCAACAGTGTTACACAAAACATCATGGACTTACATTATCCAACACCTTAACAAACATTATTATAGAAAAGATCACTAACTTTCATTATCCAACATCTTAACAAACATTATCATAGAAAAGATCACTGACTTTCATTATCCAACATCTTAACAAACATTATTATAGAAAAGATCACTAACTTTCATTATCCAACATCTTAACAAACATTATTATAGAAAAGATCACTAACTTTCATTATCCAACATCTTAACAAACATTATTATAGAAAAGATCACTAACTTACATTATCCAACATCTAAACAAACATTATTATAGAAAAGATCACTAACTTACATTATCCAACATCTAAACAAACATTATTATAGAAAAGATCACCGACTTATACTATCAAACATCTTAACAAACATTATTATAGAAAAGATCACTAACTTTCATTATCCAACATCTTAACAAACATTATTATAGAAAAGATCACTAACTTACATTATCCAACATCTAAACAAACATTATTATAGAAAAGATCACCGACTTATACTATCAAACATCTTAACAAACATTATTATAGAAAAGATCACTGACTTTCATTATCCAACATCTTAACAAACATTATTATAGAAAAGATCACTCTTTCATTATCCAACATCTTAACAAACATTATTATAGAAAAGATCACTAACTTTCATTATCCAACATCTTAACAAACATTATTATAGAAAAGATCACTAACTTTCATTATCCAACATTTTAACAAACATTATTATAGAAAAGATCACCGACTTATACTATCAAACATCTTAACAAACAATATTATAGAAAAGATCACTGACTTACATCATCAAACATCTTAACAAACATTATTATAGAAAAGATCACTGACTTACATTATCCAACATTTTAAAAAACATTATCATAGAAAAGATCACTGACTTACATCATCAAAAATCTCAACAAACATTATGATAGAAAACATAATTGACTTACATGATCAAACATCTCAACAAACATTATGATAGAAAACAAAATTGACTTACATCATCAAACATCTCAACAAACATTATGATAGAAAACAAAATTGACTTACATGATCAAACATCTCAACAAACATTATGATAGAAAACATAATTGACTTACATGATCAAACATCTCAACAAACATTATGATAGAAAACATAATTGACTTACATGATCAAACATCTCAACAAACATTATGATAGAAAACATAATTGACTTACATGATCAAAATTCTCAACAAACATTATGATAGAAAACATAATTGACTTACATGATCAAAATTCTCAACAAACATTATGATAGAAAACATAATTGACTTACATGATCAAAATTCTCAACAAACATTATGATAGAAAACATAATTGACTTACATGATCAAACATCTCAAACAGTTTAGCACTGGGCTGGTGTATGGTACAGATAATTGTTCTCCCACCTTCGGCCAACTTTTTCAGCAACGACACACACTGGAAACATGAGACACTGTCCAGACCACTGACAGACATCCAATATTAAAACATTAGTGTTTAAAAGTTTTAAAACAACAAAAGTAGTAAAAATTACTGTTTATGTTCAACAGAGTAACTGTGAAAGACATTGTTTATGTCCTAAAATGTACTAGGTATATAGTGACCAAAGAGGGCGCTAAAATGTTACATAGAACCTGTTCTGCTGTATGGCAGTGAATCTTGGAATGTCAGTGGACAAATTAGGAAGAATTTGGAAGCAATAGAGATGTGGTTTCTGGGATGAATGTTACGAGTACCTCGGATGGCCAGAGAACTAATAACGATTAATTGAAAGAGGCTAATGAAACTCGACCTTTATATACAACAATAAGAAAGAGACAAACACTGTTCTTTGGTCACATAATGAGAAGGGAGACATTGGAGAACATCGTGACAACTGGAAAGATCAGTGGAAAATGGGTATAGGCAGACAAAGAGAGTTGATGCTAGATGGGCTGAAATGATGGCATGGAGTGGATATCATCAAGAGAGCTGTTCCAGGCAACCAAGGATCATGATCTGTGGACACATGAGCTCCCACGCCTGTTCACACAGACAGTGTGCTAAGCCTTTCAGCTGAAAAAGTTGACAAAGTCCAGAAAGAAAGATATTATTGACTGTTAATAAAGTCTCTTCTAAACGTACTGTCAAAAAAATCTTTTTTTTTTAACCAAATTTCTTCTAAGCCATATAGTCAACTGACTCTTCCAAGTTCCAGCCTTTGCCCACACCCCTCGGCTACAGCACCTCAGACATGACTGCTTGAGAGCTGACCCTTCTTCTCCTCCTCTTGTCCTTTTCCAGCCCTCTTTCATCCTTTGTTCTTTTCCTCTGACCCATTTGTCATTCCTGTCACCTGTCATCTTTCGATGCTCTGCTACCTTCTAATCTCTGTCTTTCTATATTTGACTCCCAGGGTTTCCCTGTGTATCTCAGTGTGGTCTGACATCTCCTATCTTACGCTTTTGTGTCACAGTTCCCCTGGTTTATTAGCACTTGTGGTACTTGTTAACCTCTGACCACTGCTCTGTGTTACAGTGGATCTTTACATTGTCCTCACAACATGTACAATACATTAGAAAGAGCACTGCAGGGATCTTTACATCCCCCTCACAACTTGTACAACACATTAACAAGAGAACTTGGAGCATCATTACATCCCCCTCACAACTTGTACAACACATTAACAAGAGAACTTGGAGGATCATTACATCCCCCTCACAACTTGTACAACACATTAACAAGAGAACTTGGAGCATCATTACATCCCCCTCACAACTTGAACAACACATTAACAAGAGAACTTGGAGCATCATTACATCCCCCTCACAACTTTGATGAGGTAACCGGAAAAAGAGGGGAAGTAAAAGTGATTGTGAACATAAAAATATAAATAGGTCAGTTACCTGGTTGGCTCATCAAAAAACATGACAGGTGGGTTGTTGACCAGCTCCAAGGCTATGGACAACCGTCTGCGCTGACCTCCTGACAGATTGGAGGCTCTGGTTTTCTTAGCTTCATTCAGACTCAGTGTGTCCAGAATCTCATCCACCTGCGCAATAATGGCATAAAGTTACTCTTTTGATGTAACCACAGATGGACAATGTAACCACAGATGGACACTGTAACCACAGATGAACGATGTAACCACAGATGGACATTTTAACCAAAGATGGACAATGTAACCACAGATGGACAATGTAACCACAGATGGACAATGTAACCACAGATGGACAATGTAACCACAGATGAACGATGTAACCACAGATGGACAATGTAACCACAGATGGACAATGTAACCACAGATGGACAATCTAACCACAGATGGACAATGTAACCACAGATGGACAATGTAACCACAGATGGACAATGTAACCACAGATGGACAATGTAACCACAGATGAACGATGTAACCACAGATGGACAATGTAACCACAGATGGACAATGTAACCACAGATGGACAATGTAACCACAGATGGACATTGTAACCACAGTTGGACAATGTAACCACAGATGAATGATGTAAACACAGAAAGATATAACCAGAGATGGATGATGTAACCAGAGGTGGACAATGTAACCACAGAGAAACTTGCTGTTCACTCTTTCAGCAAAAAGAAACTAACTCTACCTTCATTTGCTAAAGAGAGCACACAAACAGTTATTGATACATCCCACCTACAGAAGAGGCTTTGGAATACGCATCCCAGTGTGGTTCTTTGAGCCACAAAGTGTCAGTCAGTCTTTCAGGTTGCAATTTGGAGGTGGTGGTTGGGAGGGGGGGAGGGGGGGGGTGATGGGGTTAAATTAAAAAAAAAATGTTTTTCTCTTGCAGGAATGCCTGCAGTCTAAATATTCTTATCTGGCTCCCATCTACCAAATGTAAATGTGTCATTACATAAGCTTGTGACCTTCACTGCGGAAGTGTTAACGAAGTGTGTGCTGCAAGCAGAAAGACAGAGAGAAGGTTCCTGACACTCACCATCTCTCTCTTCTCATGTGATTACATCCACTCACCATCTCTCTCTTCTGATGTGATTATATCCACTCACCATCTCTCTCTTCTGATGGGATTACATCCACTCACCATCTCTCTCTTCTCATGTGATTACATCCACTCACCATCTCTCTCTTCTGATGGGATTACATCCACTCACCATCTCTCTCTTCTCATGTGATTACATCCACTCACCATCTCTTTCTTCTGATGTGATTATATCCACTCACCATCTCTCTCTTCTGATGTGATTATATCCACTCACCATCTCTCTCTTCTGATGTGATTACATCCACTCACCATCTCTTTCTTCTGATGTGATTACATCCACTCACCATCTCTCTCTTCTGATGTGATTATATCCACTCACCATCTCTCTCTTCTCATGTGATTATATCCACTCACCATCTCTCTCTTCTGATGGGATTATATCCACTCACCATCTCCTGTTTCTCTTGTGGTGTCAGATTCTCATCCAGCTTGAGGTTTGCTGAACACATCATGGCCTCCTCCACCGTCAGATGAGGCAACAGTTCATCGTCCTGCATGATGTAGCAGGACATTTTACGGAATGTCCTCAGGTCTCTTTCAGAATTCTGCACCAGAATGGATCCTGTTACGTTTCTTGTTCTATAACAAAGAGGGAAAAAGTAACATTAAGGGCGAGATAGATATTGTACTACCTTCTCCTCTTTTTCCTTCACCATCCCCACTTGCTCTTTCTCAACCACCACCTAATCCTTCTCATCCATCACCCCTTCTTCCTCATCCACCATTCTTCCTCCAAATCTACCACCCCCTTTTTCTCAATCATCTTCTCCTCTTCCTTCTCCACCTACTCCACTACTTCTTTACTCATCTTCTTCTTCCTCCTCTGTTGTCTTCTATCTGCAAAGAACCAGTAAGAATGCCATACAAATGCCAGACATTACTCACTACTAAACAGTCAACATGTAAACTCATATGTAACCGCCAGTCTCACTCACCTGTATCAAGTAATAGCTAAAGTCACTCAACTGTAACCATTAGATCACAGACGTCCCTAAACTTTAACCAGTAGATCACAGAGGTCACTCTCCAGTAACCAGTAGACTACAGAGGTCACTCCCCAGTAACAAGTAGACCACTGAGGTCACTCCCCAGTAACCAGTAGACCACAGAGGTCACTCATCAGTAACCAGTATACCACTGAGGTCACTCATGTATAATCAGTAGACCAATGAGGTCACTCATGTATAACCAGTAGACCACTGAGGTCACTCATGTATAACCAGTAGACCACTGAGGTCACTCACCTGTAACCAATAGACCACTGAGGTCACTCAGGTATAACCAGTAGACCACTGAGGTCACTCATCAGTAATCAGTATACCACTGAGGTCACTCATGTATAACCAGTAGACCACTGAGGTCACTCACCTGTAACCAATAGACCACTGAGGTCACTCATGTATAACCAGTAGATCACTGAGGTCACTCATGTATAACCAGTAGACCACTGAGGTCACTCATGTATAACCAGTAGACCACTGAGGTCACTCATGTATAAACAGTAGACCACTGAGGTCACTCATGTATAACCAGTAGACCACTGAGGTCACTCATGTATAACCAGTAGACCACTGAGGTCACTCATGTATAACCAGTAGACCACTGAGGTCACTCACCTGTAACCAATAGACCACTGAGGTCACTCATGTATAACCAGTAGACCACTGAGGTCACTCATCAGTAATCAGTATACCACTGAGGTCACTCACCTGTAACCAGTAGACCACTGAGGCCACTCATGTATAACCAGTAGACCACTGAGGTCACTCATGTATAACCAGTAGACCCCTGAGGTCACTCACCTGTAACCAGTAGACCACTGAGGTCACTCACCTGTAACCAGTATACCACTGAGGTCACTCACCTGTAACCAATAGACCACTGAGGTCACTCATGTATAACCAGTAGAACACTGAGGTCACTCATCAGTAATCAGTATACCACTGAGGTCACTCACCTGTAACCAGTAGACCACTGAGGCCACTCATGTATAACCAGTAGACCACTGAGACCACTCATGAATAACCAGTAGACCACTGAGGTCACTCATGTATAACCAGTAGACCACTGAGGTCACTCATGTATAACCAGTAGACCACTGAGGTCACTCATGTATAACCAGTAGACCACTGAGGTCACTCATGTATAACCAGTAGACCACTGATGTCACTCACCTGTAACCAGTAGACCACTGAGGTCACTCATCAGTAACCAGTAGACCACTGAGGTCACTCACCTGTAACCAGTAGACCACTGAGGTCACTCATGTATAACCAGTAGACCACTGAGGTCACTCACCTGTAACCAGTATACCACTGAGGTCACTCACCTGTAACCAGTAGACCACTGAGGCCACTCACCTGTAACCAGTAGACCACTGAGGCCACTCATGTATAACCAGTAGACCACTGAGGTCACTCATGTATAACCAGTAGACCACTGAGGTCACTCATCAGTAACCAATAGACCACTGAGGTCACTCATGTATAACCAGTAGACCACTGAGGTCACTCATCAGTAATCAGTATACCACTGAGGTCACTCACCTGTAACCAGTAGACCACTGAGGCCACTCATGTATAACCAGTAGACCACTGAGACCACTCATGAATAACCAGTAGACCACTGAGGTCACTCATGTATAACCAGTAGACCACTGAGGTCACTCATGTATAACCAGTAGACCACTGAGGTCACTCATGTATAACCAGTAGACCACTGAGGTCACTCATGTATAACCAGTAGACCACTGATGTCACTCACCTGTAACCAGTAGACCAATGAGGTCACTCATCAGTAACCAGTAGACCACTGAGGTCACTCACCTGTAACCAGTAGACCACTGAGGTCACTCATGTATAACCAGTAGACCACTGAGGTCACTCACCTGTAACCAGTATACCACTGAGGTCACTCACCTGTAACCAGTAGACCACTGAGGCCACTCACCTGTAACCAGTAGACCACTGAGGCCACTCATGTATAACCAGTAGACCACTGAGGTCACTCATGTATAACCAGTAGACCACTGAGGTCACTCATCAGTAACCAGTATACCACTGAGGTCACTCACCTGTAACCAGTAGACCACTGAGGCCACTCATGTATAACCAGTAGACCACTGAGGTCACTCATCAGTAACCAGTATACCACTGAGGTCACTCACCTGTAACCAGTAGACCACTGAGGCCACTCATGTATAACCAGTAGACCACTGAGGTCACTTTTCAGTAACCAGCAGACCACTGAGGTCACTCATCAGTAACCAGTAGAATACTGATATCACTCATCAGTAACCAGTAGACCACAGAGGTCACTCATCAGTAACCAGTAGACCACTGAGGTCACTCATCAGTAACCAGTAGACCACTGAGGTCACTCATCAGTAACCAGTAGACCACTGAGGTCACTCAGGTATAACCAGTAGACCACAGAAGTCACTCACCTATATCCAGTAGACAACTGAGGTCACTTACTTGTATCCAGTAGACAATGAAGGTCACTCACCTGTCTCCAGTAGACAACTGAGGTCACTCACCTGTATCCAGCAGACAGCTGAGGTCACTACTCTGTAACCAATAGACAACTGAGGTCACTTACTTGTCTCCAGCAGACAACTGAGGTCACTCACCTGTATCCAGTAGACAACTGAGGTCACTTACTTGTATCCAGTAGACAACTGAGGTCACTCACCTGTATCCAGTAGACAACAAAGGTCATTCACCTGTATCCAGCAGACAACTGAGGTCACACACCTGTATCTAGTAGACAACTGAGGTCACTCACCTGTATCCAGTAGACAACTAAAGTCACACACCTGTATCCAGCAGACAGCTGAGGTCACACACCTGTATCCAGCAGACAACTGAGGTCACTACTCTGTAACCAGTAAACAACTAAGGTCACTCACCTGTATCCAGCAGACAACTAAGGTAACACACCTGTATACAGCAGACAACTAAGGTCACACACCTGTATCCAGCAGACAACAAAGGTCACACACCTGTATCCAGTAGACAACTGAGGTCACACACCTGTATACAGTAGACAACTGAGGTCACTCACCTGTATCCAGCAGACAACTGAGGTCACACTTGTATACAGTAGACAACTGAGGTCACACACCTGTATGAGGTAGACAACTGAGGTCACACACCTGTATCCAGTAGACAACTGAGGTCACTCACTCGTATCCAGTAGACAAGTAAGGTCACACACCTGTATACAGTAGACAACTAAGGTCACACGCCTGTATACAGTAGACAACTAAGGTCACACACCTGTATCCAGTAGACAACTGAGGTCACACACCTGTATCCAGTAGACAACTGAGGTCACACACCTGTATACAGTAGACAACTGAAGTCACACACCTGTATCCAGTAGACAACTGAGGTCACTCACCTGTATACAGTAGACAACTAAGGTCACTCACCTGTATCCAGTAGACAACTGAGATCACTCACCTGTATCCAGCCAGAATGTTCATCAGCGAAGACTTGCCAGCACCAGAGGGACCCATGATGGCTGTCAGTTCTCCGGACACAAACTTGCCAGAGATGTTCTTCAAAATGGCTTTCTTTCCTGGCAGTAATCAAGCCACAATGTTAGTTGTAAAACATACCATCTGATAAGGGAATTAAAGGACCCTTTTACATCAGTGTAAACTACTCTTTCAGATAAGTAAAGTAAAAGTTCTTTTTACATCAGTGTAAAATACTCCATTTGATAGGTAAAGTAAATGACGGTTTTACATCAGTGTAAAACTCTCCATTTGATAGGTAAAGGAAAGAATGGTTTTACATCAGTATAAAATACTCCATCTGATAAGTAAAGTAAAGGACCTATTTACATCAGTGTAAAATACTCCAACTGAAGTAAAGGATGGTTTTACATCAGTGTAAAATACTCCATCTGATAAGTAAAGTAAAGGACGGTTTTACATCAGTGTAAAATACTCTTTCAGATAAGTAAAGTAAAGGACCTTTTAACATCACTGTAAAATACTCCATCTGATAAGTAAAGTAAATGATGGTTTTACATCAGTGTAAAATACTCCATCTGATAAGTAAAGTAAAGGACGGTTTTATATCAGTGTAAAATACTTTATTTGATAAGTAAAGTAAATGACGGTTTACATCAGTATAAAATACTCCATTTGATAGGTAAAGTAAATGACTGTTTTACATCAGTGTAAAACTCTCCATTTGATAGGTAAAGTAAAGAATGGTTTTACATCAGTATAAAATACTCCATCTGATAAGTAAAGTAAAGGACCTTTTTACATCAGTGTAAAATACTCCATCTGAAGTAAAGGATGGTTTTACATCAGTGTAAAATACTCCATCTGATAAGTAAAGTAAAGGACGGTTTTACATCAGTGTAAAATACTCTTTCAGATAAGTAAAGAAAAGGTTCTTTTTACATCAGTGTAAAATACTCCATCTGATTAGTAAAGTAAAGGACGGTTTTACATCAGTGTAAAATACTCCATCTGATAAGTAAAGTAAAGGACCTTTTTACATCAGTGTAAAATACTCCATTTGATAGGTAAAGTAAATGACGGTTTTACATCAGTGTAAAACTCTCCATTTTATAGGTAAAGGAAAGAATGGTTTTACATCAGTATAAAATACTCCATCTGATAAGTAAAGTAAAGGACCTTTTTACATCAGTGTAAAATACTTCATCTGAAGTAAAGGATAGCTTTACATCAGTGTAAAATACTCTTTCAGATAAGTAAAGTAAAGGACCTTTTTACATCAGTGTAAAATACTCCATCTGATAAGTAAAGTAAATGATGGTTTTACATCAGTGTAAAATACTCCATCTGATAAGTAAAGTAAAGGACGGTTTTATATCAGTGTAAAATACTCCATTTGATAAGTAAAGCAAATGACGGTTTACATCAGTGTAAAATACTCCATTTGATAGGTAAAGTAAATGACGGTTTTACATCAGTGTAAAACTCTCCACTTAACAGGTAAAGTAAAGAATGGTTTTACCTCAGTATAAAATACTCCATCTGATAAGTAAAGTAAAGGACCTTTTTACATCAGTGTAAAATACTCCATCTGAAGTAAAGGATGGTTTTACATCAGTGTAAAATACTCCATCTGATAAGTAAAGTAAAGGACGGTTTTACATCAGTGTAAAATACTCTTTCAGATAAGTAAAGAAAAGGTTCTTTTTACATCAGTGTAAAATACTCCATCTGATAAGTAAAGTAAAGGACGGTTTAACATCAGTGTAAAATACTCCATCTGATAAGTAAAGTAAATGACGGTTTTACATCAGTGTAAAATACTCCATCTGATAAGTAAAATAAAGGATGGTTTTACATCAGTGTAAAATACTCCATCTGATAAGTAAAGTAAAGGATGGTTTTACATCAGTGTAAAATACTCCATCTGATAAGTAAAGTAAATGACAGTTTTACATCAGTGTAAACTACTCCATCTGATAAGTAAAGTAAAGGATGGTTTTACATCAGTGTAAAATACTCCATCTGATAAGTTTGTAAATGACGGTTTTACATCAGTGTAAAATACTCCATCTGATAAGTAAAGTAAATGACGGTTTTACATCAGTGTAAAATACTCCATCTGATAAGTAAAGTAAAGGATGGTTTTACATCAGTGTAAAATACTCCATCTGATAAGTAAAGTAAAGGAACTTTTTACACCAGTGTAAAATACTCCATCTGATAAGTAAAGTAAAGGATGGTTTTACATCAGTGTAAACTACTCCATCTGATAAGTAAAGTAAAGGATGGTTTTACATCAGTGTAAAATACTCCATCTGATAAGTAAAGTAAAGGACGGTTTTACATCAGTGTAAAATACTCCATCTGATAAGTAAAGTAAAGGATGGTTTTACATCAGTGTAAAATACTCCATCTGATAAGTAAAGTAAAGGAAATGTTTGACGGCTGTGGACCACTGGACATATGATGCAAGACTCATTGTTCTATTGAGCAATCAGCACTTTTTGATAAGAGGTCAAAGTTCATGTTTTGTGACAAGTAGTTCTGAAGTTTGCAATTACGATACACAAAAACAAATTCACACACAAAGAGACAGTTGGTTGTTACCTTTGGTGCTGGGTGCATCCTTGACGAAATACGACAAGTTGAGGAATTTGATGTCCACCGACCTGTGCCTCTTGAGGTAGGAGCTGCATCTCCTGTCCTTGTGTGCTTGATCGTGGGCGGGTTTCTTGACTTCTTGCTTGGCAGATGTTCCCAGATGAGGTGGAATGTGAACCTGGCAATGTGGACAATGACATTAAAACATATTAGATAAAGGGTATTAAAACATATCACAATATTATAACATATTACACAATTCATAATTAACCTCTTTCAATACTTCAATGATTATTTGTAGAACAATACTTCAATGAATATTTGTAGAACAATACTTCAATGATTATTTGTAGAACAATACTTCAATGATTATTTGTAGAACAATACTTCAATGATTATTTGTAGAACAATAGTTATGGGTTCATGTCCTTATAAAGCCTAAATTTTTTTTGAGAATAGACTGGCTGCCAGCACTGAGTCAGTACCAGGTAAAGTCGTGGGAAGTAAAGGCGGCTGGTGTGATGTTGACCACATCATCGAGTGCTGACTGGTCTATAACATACATGTCTAGCCCTATATACCCCCGAAGGTGTGGAAAAGGCTACGTTTTAGATTTCATATATTCTTGTGTATCAAGCGGTTGACACATTTGCTCATTCAATTGTAGCTGTTAGTTTAGTTCCTTCTGTGTCGCACATTTATTATACTAACGCCGATAATCTTCAGAATTAGGTGATTTAACGAGAAAATCTTGAGATAAACACAATTATGTGGTAGACCACAGAGGTTTGGCAATAAAAGAGTAAAATATAGGCTCTATACATATTATTCTTAGGAGCCATGTTAATTTATTGGCCAGACTTTTGCCTGCCCGTCTAAAAGTCTAAAAGCAGAATTTGTGTCCAAATTTACTTTGGCTCAAATGCCGCTGCACCACTGACCTAAACATGGTACCATATAAGACTGAATCCCCCTGAAAGCCAATTTCTGAAATAATCCACGTCTTTGGATTTTAGATATAAAAATAAAATAGAGTTGTGGTTGGAAAACATTAGAAAACTATGAACTGCTCTACCCTGGTACCGCTCTTTTGATCCGGAATCTTCTTCAGAATGCTTTTTTAAAAACCTTTTAGTGTCACATTTCCTTTGGAGTAAACAAGGCAATCTGAGTGAGGGATCATACTGTTTAGGCAGCAAAGTTTCTTAAATCTCTGACCAGGTTCTGTGCTAAAGGGAAGAGGTTCCTGACACTATCATCATCAGTGACAGGTCTTAGGATGGGTTGACTTGGAGCCTGGGTCATTGTCTGGACTCTCCTCAATGAGAAATCTTTTCCCTTCCGGCTGGCAAATAAGCGTTCTGGCCACTGCACCACCAAACACTACTGTACTAATATACATTTGTGTGTGATGGGCATGGGGTGGGTGTGCCCACAACTTAGATAACTCTCTTCTTGTTGTTTTTGGCGCTCACCGACTGTAAACTTTGGCAGAAAGTTCTGGTTGTTTGACCACTTCTGGATTTTATTCTTGCCCCAGAACATGAGCTTTGAATGCACATCAGTTTTTATTTGCAGATGATGTTCTCGTATAAAGGGGGAAGGGGAGAGATCGGAACCAAATAGCTGAAGAGTTACAGGTGACAGTAGATAAGGTGATCGACTGGTGTACAGAGATGAATGCTGTAATCAACCCAGAAAAGGCAACCATCCTGTGGTGTTCTTTGGAGAACAGGATTGTTAGAGATGATGTTCCCAGACTAAAAATAAATGGCAGGGACATCAAACCTGGGAATCACCTTTGACAGAAGTTTGTCTTTCAGGGATCACATAGAGAGGGTTGTGACAAGGGCTCAAAAAGGTCTTAATGCACTAAAGATTATGGCAATGATGAACATGGAGCAGAGAATGTTGTTCACACTTTACCAGCACTTAATCATCACAGTGATTGATTATGGATTGGAGTTACTCACTGTCTCAAAGAGTCAGCTAGAGAAACTAGAGCGCATACAGAATAAAGCTATGCGGCTGATCCTGGGTTGTACAAGAGACACCCCGATTGTGTGCATGCTATACATCCTTGCATTGCCGACTATTGCAGATAGGCTAAAGGTGCTGCAGGCTAAGTCATACCTCAGAGTAGCTGCAGACAGGGAACACCCTCTGTATGAAGCTTCGGCTGCAGGCAAGTGTCAGAGGCTGAAAAGGGGAAAATCGTGGATGGCTCAAGCAGAAGACACAATAAGACAATATGCATGCTGGAGAAAACTGGGTGAGGGGAGGAGTGGGTCAGAGTACCAGAGGAAAAGTCTGACCTGTGTATTGTTATGATCACATTGGGCATGGTGGGTAATGAACAGGCAGACAGATTGACTGGATCTGCACCATTGGGTGGTGAACTGATACATGACAAGGCAGATGTGGTCAAGGCCCTTTGGGAACAAGCAACGGAATCAGTAGAGAAAGAAGATTATTATGGCCTGGAGAGAATGAGGCACCTGGGTGTAACAAGAGGGTCTGGTCGGCTCATTACACTCAGAGGAGAGGCAAGATGGACATATAACCAGATTGTGACCGGTACCATCAGTATTGTAACTCTGCGCTGGCTGCTGAAGATGAGGACAGAACATGCATGGGAATGTCCCGAGTGCTGTGATGTCAATTTTTGACTTAGCTCAACTCAATTAGTTTTATAGTCCTGGTTTATTTGTGACCAGACTTTTGGTTCCTCGTCTCTCTGGTAGACTCCCTTTGACTTTAAGGGAAACAGCACAAACTATCATCTCCTCACCTCCTGCAACAACACACTTGTTAGGGGGGGGGGGGTGGATCTGTTTTCTCCCACCCTGAAATGGGGCTCTGGAACCCACACATGGAAACACATGTGTATATTGTGACAGGCCAGCACACAGCCTGGATGTCAATAACACACATGTGTATATTGTGACAGGCCAGCACACAGACCGGATGTCAATAACACATATATGTATATTGAGACAGGCGAGCACACAGCCTGGATGTCAATAACACACATGTGTATATTGTGACAGGCGAGCACACAGCCTGGATGTCAATAACACACATGTGTATATTGTGACAGGCCAGCACACAGACCGAATGTCAATAACACATATATGTATATTGTGACAGGCCAGCACACAGACCGGATGTCAATAACACATATATGTATTTTGTGACAGGCCAGCACACAGACCGAATGTCAATAACACGCATGTTTATTTTGTTAGACTTTGCTAGACTTGAAATAACATGAATAAAGAAATGCTAGATTTTAAATAACATGAATAAAGAAATGCTAGACTTGAAATAACATGAAATAATGAAGAAATGCTAGACTTGAAATAACATGAAATAAAGAAATGCTAGACTTGAAATAACATGAAATAATGAAGAAATGCTAGACTTGAAATAACATGAAATAATGAAGAAATGCTAGACTTGAAATAACATGAAATAAAGAAATGCTAGACTTGAAATAACATGAAATAATGAAGAAATGCTAGACTTGAAATAACATGAAACAATGAAGAAATACTAGACTTGAAATAACATGAAACAATGAAGAAATACTAGACTTGAAAAACATGAAACAATGAAGAAATACTAGACTTAAAATGACATAAAATAAGGAAGAAATCCTAGACTTAAAATAACATGAAAAATTTAGGAAAAAACAAGACAAAATAACATTAAATAATAAACAAATACTATACTTGAAATGACATGAATATAGAAATACTAGACTTGAAATTAAATGAAATAATGAAGAAATACTAGACTTGAAAAAAAAACATGAAATAATACAGAAATATGAAACAGAACTTCTATAAATTATTATTGGTGGTAGTGGGTTAGTACCCTTACGACTTGGGGGCGAGGGATGGGTAGCGGGGTGCTCAAGGATCCATAGTTCCTAGCTTCTGAAACCAGTCAACGCCCACGTTTATGCTGTGACAAGCATTCCGGTGTGAGCACACAGCGTGTTGTCATTATAACATCCACACTCCACACTAGCACTGAGGCAACTCAACAGATTGGTCGCAGGGTTGCCATACTGGCGTTTTTGAGGCCAGATTCTACAAATTTGGCGTATTTTAAACTGAACGAACGAACGAACGAACTAACGAACTTTATTTTCAAAGGGTTACAAATTAGGCACGCAGGCCTGTCTTACATTCGGCCCTTCCAAACTTCCATCTTTCGTACAGCAGTTGTATTTCATCAACTGAGCTTGCTTAAGATAATAAGCTGGGGTATTTTAGCGTATTTAGGTTTTTTCTGGATTTTCTAAACAAGACGTGCTCACGTTTTTTTTTTTTTCATGGTTACTCCGTTAAAAACACGCAGATTTACTAGAAGGCCTACAGTTAACATCTTTATTTCAATTTGTCTTTGTTGTGATGTCATGGTACGGAGATACTCGCCGTCTCGTATTGTGTTTGTTGTCTCCTAAACGGATCGTGACTTCGATAAACCAAGACCCTCTGTAATTTATGTTAATTTACTAGAATGAATGCGGGATATAAAACCAAAACCCACCACAGATATCAAGTGATTCACACTGTTAATAAACTACTTGAGGATAGAAAATAGAGAGGATATAGACCTAGTTCTATCTGTGATAGATTTGATTACTTTTACCAATGGCCAGGTCATTTAAAAAACGGAAAGCATCTGGTAATCTGGTAATCTTAGTTTCAGCTTCATAGAAAATGGTTCATCCCATAGTTGCTCCGCTCCTGTGCCAACAAAAGACACACGTAGCTCACAATGTCACGCCATGCACTCAACTCAGAAGCTGGGCGACGAAACTATATCCTTCCAGTCTACAAATGGAGCAAAAATGCAACGGCCGCCGTCTGGCAGTAGCAAAAAAAAAAAAAAACATTTGCCACGGCTAAAAAAATAAATTAGTGGCCGTGCCTAGCGTCCATTTTGACCTAAAGCATTATGTGACGGTTAATAAACGGACACCCCAGCAGTACCCTCATTATTAGCTGGGAAAAGGACTTAGGACATTACATCCACCAGCAGGCGTCGCCCCTACAACGACCTGACTGCCTTCGTTAACGACTGTTCACCCAACAGCCATGCAGTTCTTTGGCACGAAGGAAACACCTTGAACTTGGGTTTCGGACTGCCGACTCCCTTCAAGAT